GCATTGGCAATATTTCCATGTTATCTTTGAATTTGTGTCGTTCATTCCCCCTAGGATAGATCGACAAATATAAACAATTGAAATGTAGAATACCACTACAAATCTCAGCGTTCGGCCAACCTTCGGAAAACGACGTAATAAGAGCAAGATGTGTTGAAGATCTGAAAAAAATTATTAGAAATTTTTTAATCGATAAGATAAAAAAATCTCCAATTGAGGTTGAAATGAAGTGATTTTTTGTTGATTTAGCACATAGAAAAACTGATATGATTGTTACACCGTTCGACAAAATTGAAGTTTCAATGGAAAAGGTCATGGTCCGAAGATGTTACAATTTAATGGATTATGCTGGTCATTTTTTGATTGAAACTTCAATTTTCCGGATAAGTACCAAACACTAGTGTTTACTACGGTCAAAAAGGGAGTATTTAACACGAGTTAGTATAGTTTTTCATCACCCAGATTTGACCGGAGCCATCCAAAGTGTTTAAAACAATTTAGTACTTTTTAGTACACTTTTAGTACTTTTTAGTACTGAGCCTGAAAATTTCTTGAGGAGTACTAAAAAGTTTCTTCAGACACTATTGCTCTATTTTAAGCAGTTGAGAAGTTTCAGGACTTCGAAAATGCACAAAAATACCGTTTTATAGCGAAAAGTGATTTTGAGACAATAAAGTGGACTGGATGTTGATTTTTCGAGTTGATATGTCAGGAGTGTTGCTCCTATGAGTTGTATCAGGAGTGTTGCTCAGCTATACTCTGGCTACAATATTGTCGAACACAGTGAGTGAAAAAAATGTATACTGCTCGAGCTTTGGTCGAAAAACTGGAAAAATAGACTATTTTCTCGACATTCTGCCTCATAGCTCTCACCAGATAGTTGAATTCAATGTATTATTGTAGTTTCAATTGTTTTCAATCATTTTAAATAAATACCAGCCAAGAAATGAGCAAAAAATGATGTTTTGAGTGTAAGAAAATTTCGCTGATTTTTCAGGTTCCCAGAAGAACTACCGAAATCGATAAAAAAAAATCTAGACGTGGTTCCGGACATTCTAATGATGCAGAAGTGTTTGTTTTGAGGTCCTCTAACAAACGCCATCGGAATTTCTCTTGTGCGAAAACATGTGTTGTACGGTGTTATGAGTCCGGTTTTCGTAACATTCAAAAACTGAGTGGCGATATTTTTTATTTGTACGTGCATGGGACCTACCTTGGCCAATATTTCCAATGAGCAATGAACTAAACCTAATCCAGTAAAATGGAGTCGTTCTTGGGATCGAGCGATGATCATACTCGCATATTTCCGCACCCGTGGATCGTAGTCGAACCAGTTCGAGCCGTACATAGTTTCTCCAAGCCGCGAAATGCGTAAAGTCACCGCACTAGCATAGTAACAATAAACAGACAACCAACACAATGAGCAAGTGATGCTGATTATGCGGAAAAACAGCTCCAAATTGAACTCCGACTGAAAGGATTTTAAGTTATTTCAAATATTCTGAAAACAATGAAATCAATTCAATCGAAAGATTGAAGAATATTTACATGTTCCAATTTATATATTGAAATCGATATGAACAAAATACTGGAAGGAAGGAGTGAAAAAATTGCTCCACTGTTGATATTTGCCACCATTCTGAATATCCTGATAAAGAATTGTTGATTTATGTGTTAATGTTTGAAATTCTTATACTAATATCATGTTTTAAAACATCGATTCAACTCACTCGAGTGCTTTGATGTGAATCTCCACCGACTGGCACAGTTTTTCTTTGATCTTTTCATGTCGCTCCTGGTAGTTTTTTGGATTTGTCTCATATTTGTTTCGTTCTACACTTTCCTTGAGAGAGTCGATTATCGCGTCGAAATGAGCGCAAACGGCACAAGTGTAAAAGCAGCAAGAAATAAAATAGCAAGTTATAGAAACCATGCCCAGTGAATAGGACAGAGCGTTGTTGAACTCAAAAATAAATAACGGATACCATCCCCAAAGACTTTCTGTATTGAAAGGGACGCTGAATTGGAATGGTAAAAACCACTCAGATGTATTGATGTTGCCAATGATAATGCAATAAATAGAGTTTATGAGTGTTATCAGAAACATGGTCTGTTGGATGGGGTGATAATACGACATAAAGTGCACATATTTGCGACAAGTTTGCTCCGTGTTCCAGTAAATGTTGAAGATTTCTTGACTGTCTTCATTTTCATCGACGATTGGTTGTAATTCAAGGTGCAGCTTTTTGATCTCTTGCATTTTTAAGCCGATAGACAGAAATACACCGGAGCATTGTAGACCAGCTATTACTTGAACGCAAGAGTCCAGTGTCTGGTCAAATCGGTCTAGGTTTGTAAACATGAACACTGCACACGATATTATGAAACCAGAGGTTGTATTGAACAAAATGAAATAAGCAGCAAATGATCGAAAGAATTCATTTTTTGGCTCGGTCAAGTTATACGAATGAATCCCGATTCGAGCCATGGATGCTTGATTATGCCCTAGCACTTTGAACTTGGCCATTCCGTTAATTGTTTGGTTATAACTTCTTTCAATTCTTCTTTGTTCTTTTTTTTCAAGTATATTTTTTAACCGTTTTTATTGCCAAAAACGACTTTCCAAATGTGGAACTGCAAGAACTAATAATAGGTTTTGGTCGTTTTGTTTAGATGTTTCAAATGATTTTCAATTTTCCAAGATCCATAGTATATTCACTGTTCAAACACTTAGATCTTTTCTATCTTATGCTTCCAGCAAAAAATCAAACTGTTTGCTTTAGTTTCACAAGCAATTTATTTGAACTTGTATTTTCTGCGTTGGACGTTGACTGACTGTTTTAAGTCTAGCTCATCTCCTTTTATACGATTTTGTCGGCAAGGAGTACTTTTTAGACACCAATACTGAATTATTCAAAATATTGTCGTCGTGAATAGGTCAGCTGAAGAACTATCGTTGGACACGACATTGATTTGATTGCACGAAATTGATGGCAGAAAAAAATATTTCTACACAGACTTGAGATAAAAAAAATTCCTTTTTCTTTAACTTCGTCCCTTCCAAGCTGACGACACTTCAGTACAAACATCATTTGAGCGCTCGCAGCGCCACGAACTCTCGTATCATTTTTTATTGACTTTTCGATAGTTCATGAGTTCGCCGTAGACTTCGTCAAAACGTGTCGTCCCTTTGGTCCCTTCCTTGTCAGCGCATATGTTTAGTAAATCGATATTTCTTACATGACTTGGGTCATTTTTTTAATTACTTGGACCGAATTTTAAATTAGTTTGGCCTATACTAGTGTATTTTGGATCTTCAGATTTACCAGCATTATTTTTCATTTTTTTTATGCTTTCAGCAAACATAAATTCGTGCATTTCTACCTATATAGAACAGAGTAAACAGAACAGTAAGAATTCTTACGAAGTGAATGAAAATTTTATTGTTTTACGTCGAAAAACCATTCTAATTGGATGGAATAATTTGTGATATTGACTTGTGTTTTGTGCACATGCCAGCGTGGATACTACTTTGTTTTTCAATAACAAATAAAAAGAATTACATTGGTAATCCCGAACTTTTCCGTACCGTTGGCCTGTGTTGTCCGTAGGTACTTTTGGTTATTTTTTGTGAATTTTCTTGAAATAAAGGCAGTGAAAATATAATAATAAAAATAAAGTGAAAAATCGGTCACTTTAACTAAAACTTCGACAATTTTGTATGAGAGGTACCCGTAAACCGATTCTCATTGGCTTCAAACTTTCTGAGGTTTAATTTTTTGGGAGAAAAATAAGATTCTGAAAGTTTTATCTTGATCGCATTTGCAGAAGTTTGGTTTTTGGCTCTCAATTTCTTCCAAGAAAATTTCGACAAAAATTGAGGACAAAAAATCAAACTTCTGCAAATGTGATCAACATGAAACTTTCAGAAGAAGTTTGAAGCCAATCAGAATCGATTTACTGGTACCTCCCATACAAAATTGTCCAAAAATCGGTAGTTTTAGTCAAAATTTCAAAAAATTTGTATGAGAGGTACCCGTTAATCGATTCCGATTGCTTTCAAACTTTCAGAATCTTATTTTTCTCCCAAAAATGAATTCCCAGAAAGTTTGAAGCCAATCGGAGTCGATTTACAGGTACCTCCCATACGGAAGTGTCAATTCTTTGAGGTTTTTCTTAGGCAAGCACCCCAGGATCAAATCGAAAATGGCTCATCTTCGAACCTTAACTAAGTTTTTCGAATACAAAACTTTTGGCATTTCCAGATTTTGATTATCTCAATTATTTTTTGAGTTATCGTGTTAACAAACAGCTACGACGACGACAATGACAACGAAAAGTGTCTCAAAAAGTGGTTTTCTACGCGTTTCATGAGTTTCTTTGATGATCCAAACCAATTTTGCGAAAAAAGTTTTCGGGACCAATTCCTATACTTTCCCTTGACACGGTGTGTACGGAAAATTAATGATTCGGAGGTGGTTTGGTATTTCAACTAGATATTATTTCAAGTTGTAAATAACATGTAAATAACTTTTTTTCTTCTTTTTTTTCGGTGTTATAGTTCAATTTCTCAATGGAACACAGTTTGGAAAATTAAATTTAAAAAAAACTTGTTTCTTTTTTACTTTTCCGTACACGTGAATTCCACTCATACACGAGTATGCAACGAATGATTTGTGAAGAATCGGCCAATTCACAATCAAATCCGAATTGCAACCAACATAAGACACTAGACTTCTTCTTCCTATGTACACGTGCCTTTTTAAAACGTAAATTAAAATTAATGGAAACAACGACGATCTGTATTGTAATATGTTTATTGTCTTTGGTCATTTCATTTTTATTTATGAAGAAAAACTAACTTAGAAAATAAGGAAAAATTTGAAAAATAATTATTATTCCAAATATTAGAAAGACCTGCAGAAATTGTGTTCGATGTGGCAATTTGTTATGTTTTTACGTTTCAATATGACCGGTAACCAATCTACTGGATAAATATACCGACTTTTGGTGTATTTTAAGTACCAGTCAGTGCTTAGACACTTTTGTAGATATGTATATTCGGAATCTTCGGAAAATTCAAACTCAAAAACAGTAAGTTGTTTGAATATAGTCATAATACGCTGAACCTTAGAAATTGAAGTAGGACAACCAATTGCCCTCACCTCAAATTCAACCAAAAATGGAAAGTTTTTTGTGATTATTCCTTGATTTTCTATGAGTGAGTTTACAGCATCGTCGGTATCCATCCGTAGTATTCGTGTTTTTATTGATTGAATTTTCGGAAACAAACCATCAAAATATTCGATCGGTTTATCAAGCATCAAAATATCCATTGTTTCCAGCTGAACAAATGAGATTGGATTGACAAAATTATCTGGCCAAGGTCCCCAAAGCGACAAGTGCTTTAAATTATTTAAATGTAACAATTTACCATTGAAATTCGAAATAAATATGTCAAACCAATTCACTTGGAGACACTCAAGGTTTTGTAGGTTTTCAATTAAATTTTGAAACCCATTCATGTCCATTATGTTTTGACATAGTGCGAGTTTTTTGAGTTGTGGATTTTTACGAATAATATCTATGTACACCTCTGCACATGCTGATGAGCAATCAGATCCGTTATGAAACATTTCTAAATGTTCCAAATGCTGAAAATTTGCAATGCATCCACTATGAACGAATTGAGAACATTCTGCCGATATTTCTAGTATTTGCACCGCTGGGAACAATCGAACAAGACAATCTTTTGTAATATTAATTGCATCAAAGTCCCCAACACACAGTGCACATAAACTAGCGTTGATTTGATCTTTAACATTAAATCTCAGCTCGGTTACCTTGGCAAATGGTTTCTTAAAAGTAAAAAATTTAAACTGATTGTCAAAACAAAAATTAAATTTGCTCAAAGTTTCACTGCAGTATTCTTGAATATAACCAATCAAATTGCAATAGTTCTTATTATTTTCATTGTAATCATCGGGTGCAGATTCCAAATAAAGAACTCCAGATACCAGATGTCCAAAGCAACGGAGAAGCCGAAAACTGGATCTTACGTTATAGGTGATATTTTCTGGATCCACCAGATGTGGGCCAGACTTATAATTCCGTCCAAGCGACAGCGACATCGTTTTTTCACTGTATTTTCGATCATAAACGAAACGGGCAGCATGGCGTGATCTCGTGTTTGAATCTGCGGCACTCATGAGGTCATCGATTTCCAAGTGTTCCAATATTCCTTCGATACAATCGATGTTCAAATCGGTGAGTTTCATGATGATATCTGTTGAAGAGGATGAAAACTGTTGATTTCAAAATAATTCGTTGAATTTAATTACTTTTTTAGTTCGAAATCTAAATTTACTTGAATTTTTAACAAAGGATTTTATGTCGAATTGCGTTCAGGTTCAGAAAATGTCTAATGCTCAAACTTGTACTGATGCTGTTTCTGTTCTTTCGATCTGAGAGCTAACTTGCAACTGATTCTTCTGATCGATTGGTCACTTGCTACGACCGCTTCGAAATGGAAAGGAAAGGAAAAGAGCAAAGAAATCGAGTAAAAAGGACATGTCATTAGGACATTCATGAACAATGAGTAATTAAGCATGCCAGACAATGTTCCTAATTGAAGCAAAGATTTGGTTCCTCATTATGCTGCAGTTAAATGGAAACGTTGAAAGAGCAAATGACACGAAATAGAAGAGAGTGAGATTATTTTTCATCAAATGACTTTGCTTATGTATTCGAAAATTTCCAGTGACGTACTCAACCGAAGAAATGGATTGAAATATGAGAAATAGCATCATCACACATGGACAATTATAACTTCGAATTTATGAAATATTTGTGTTAGACACGAACGGTTTCTATCGTTTCAAATGAATATGAATGACTCCCCCTTTTTCACAAGTAATTTATTTCAACTTGTATTTTCTGCGTTGGACGTTGACTGACTGTTTTAAGTCTAGCTCATCTCCTTTTATACGATTTTGTCGGCAAGGAGTACTTTTTAGACACCAATGCTGAATAATTCAAAATATTGTCGTTGTGAATAGGTCAGCCGAAAAACTATCATTGGACACGACATTGATTTGATTGCACGAAATTGATGCCAGAAAAAATTGTACACGGATTTGAGATAAAAAAATTTCCTTTTTCTTCAACTTTGTCCCTTCCTTGTCAGCGCATATGTTTAATAAATCGATATTTCATACATGACTTGGGTCATTTTTTTAATTACTTGGACCGAATTTTTAATTAGTTCGGCATATACTAGTATATTTTGGAGGGACTTGTGCCTACAGACTTATCAGCATTATTTTTCATTTTTTTATGCTTTCAGCTAACATAAATTCGTGCATTTCTACCTATAGAACAGGGTAAACAGAACAGTAAGAATTCTTACGAAGTGAATGAAAATTTTATTGTTTTACGTCGAAAAAACCATTCTAATTGGATGGAATAATTTATTATATTGACTTGTGCTTTGTGCACATGCCAGCGTGGATACTACATTGTATTTCAATAACAAATATACTTTTATACGACCAAATTATTTATTGATTGATGTTTATTTGATCACAACCATGATTTATCTCAGGTAATACATAATTTTGTGAAACTACGAACATATTTTGACATTGGTATGATATTTAAAAAATATATCAGATTCCATAAACACAAACACGGGTCTTTTTTCCATGGTTGGTCGACTGAATGGCAGGTAATTGGCAGGTGATTGGTGATGTAAGTGGTTGTATCGTGGTAGAAAATTATGTTTTCTTTGGTTTATCCGGGTGATTTTTTCGATATCTTGATCCGTTGCAGCGTTAGACCACACGAATCAACTGCCTTGTAGATGATTTTTTTTCGTCTCATTTTGTTCTAGGAAAATCATCAGTTTTATAGTTAAACCGCTACAGTGAAATTATATGTAAGTCCATAAATAGAGCGAGAGTTGATTGTAAACACAGTTTTAATTTTAATCAAGTTCGTTTGTTCCGAACTTTGCTAATGCGATAAGTGCTAAGCATAGTTTGGGGACATTAAATACAAACCCGACTCGAAATCTAATAAGGATGAAAGGATTTGATCTAGCATTCGCCTTAAAAAAATCAGCTGCAAAAATCCCTGCGTTCACCTGTGAAATAATGTAGTTGAAAGATGTGACCAATCTTGTTAAATATATTTTATTTGCTGCGTTTCGCTTTTCTACAATTTCAACCGCTAGTTCAAAAATATTGGTATACATTAGAATCGAATTAGCCTACTGAATAACGTTTTATCTTGCATTCAATTTTATTTCATAAAAAATTTATTTTTCTCTTCTCTCTGGTTTTGTATTTTTACTCAACTATTTGGCAATAGCAAATTGCAATCGATTCAAAAATGAGCACCAATTTCTGTTTTCTCCTTCATCTCCGGGTTAATTCCAATAAATTTCCGTGTGAAAAACACGTTGCTTTCAATTTATTCCATAATAATCCGGAGGTGGTTTAGTATTTCAACTAGATATTATTTCAAGTTGTAAATACCATTTAAATACACTAATGTAAATAACTTTTTTTCTTCTTTTTTTTTGGTGTTATAGTTCAATTTCTCAATGGAACACAGTTTGGAAAGTTTAATTTAAAAAAACTTGTTTCTTTTTTTTCAATGTTTCGACGAAATCTATTTACAAATTGCTTTGATTTGAGAGGGCACTCAGTAGTATTAGCTAGTCACGATAGTCCATGGTTTTGATGAATGTAACGGCCGAACAGAACTGTGTCCACCAGTACTGATCCTCACCTTCAATCTCTTCACCGATAAATGCGTTAACATACTGTATCGTTGACAATAAATACGGTGGATTTGCCTAGTACGAAGAGAAGAAGATATCAGTTGGATTGCGTTAAAGAAGAAGAGAAAAAAAGAGACAAAAATTACCTTTATCACAACATAAATCAAAACAGGAATCAGATCATCAGCCGCTGGGATTCGATTTGAAGACATTTGCAGCAGATTCATAATGCAGGTTATGCAACTGAAAAGAGATCGAATTCAATTAATATCTTGCATGTTATAAACAAATTCAATGAGTCCATTCGAAGCTCGTTTATTTGATCTTACCGGACGACACATTGGACTTTTTCACGCGGTGTTTTGTATGCCGAAATATAAGCGATTTGCTGTTGAGCAAAAGGCCACGGCGCCTCAATCCAGAATGCATCTGGTATTCGAAGTGCACTGTGTGATGGTGTGATGATGGTGGACAGCTTTCGAATGTGCTCGTGCAAAACTCTGTAGGGAAAATATCATCAATGTTTCAAGTAAAAGTCGATCGAGGATAAAACGTTCCCAATAAATTGACTGAGAAAAATGGGAAAAATAAAAAAAAAATGCAGAAACTCACTCATCGCGTGAAAGATCGGCATCATCGTTCGGGAACATGACCTGGCGATAGAGCCGCTGTAGCAATATCCGTTCGATGCATGTTCGAGCCTCTTGCAATTGCCAGTCGGCCATTCCTTGTAGAATTCCGTCGGATTTCAAAAAGTCATCCAACAGCCGACTCATAAACTCCAACATAATGTCAATTTTCTCATCGAATACCGTCAATGCGGCGAATCGTTCTTCGAACTGTTCGATAACCGATTCACACTTTTTCAAAAACATCCGTACACACACCATAATCAAGTGTCGATTGCACATCTCACGATCATTGCGCAAACGATCTTCAAATCGATCGATATTTTCCAATGCCGACAACAAGTTCTGATGGTATCGCATCAAGTATTGCAAGTAACTCTGTCGTTTCACCAAGTCCGATTGCAAATCAGCGATCAATGTCTGCTGATACCCTGGATCCAATTGATTGACAGACCGAATGGCTTCGGATACGTACGAAATTTGCTGGAGATTCTGTAGATTTTGCGCCTGAGCTAGTTGAATGTGTAAATACACGAGTATTGGAGGTGTTTTGTTGCACTGTCAAATGAGAAACAGAATTTTCAATTAAAATTTAAATCAACAAAACAAATCAAAAATTGAATCAGGAATTATTGTCCAATTTACACTTACGTTTGTGTGCCGAAAATCGGCGGTGTGTAAATCCGTTGTCGACAGAACGAGGCGCAATTTTTGCTTGGTTTTCGCATACAAATAAATGCTTTCATCGTGCAATAGGCCAGATAAACGATGTTCGTCGATGTTCATGAGACTCTTGCGTTCGTTATTCAAATTGTTACCGATCGAGTCCGAGTTGGTGGCTTCACTGGACGATGAGATTTTGCGGCGATACTTTTCCAAAATGTCTTCGGTATCATTGTAACCGTTTTCGAGCGATGATTTCAACGACGCATTCACAAACAGTGAACTACTTGCGCCATTCGATGCATTTTCCATGGGCAAAGGCAAGGCGGTGTAATCCTCAAACGTTGCACGTGGCTGCAGTTTGGCATTGCGACGGAATCCTTTTTTGATTTTACTGAAAAATCCATTGCCATTGCCATTGCCATTTCCGTTGCCGTTGTTGCCATTTTGACGATGACCATTCGGATGATTGTGCTGATGGTATGGTGAAGTGTTTGGAGAATTTTCAAATTTGCGTCCATTGCCATTTTTGTCGGCCGACGCATCGAAACTGATACTCTTCGGAATGGCACCCGTGTATTTGGCCGTTGTTTTACTATCCGGTTGCGAAGTTTCTGCGACAAAAACGTCTGCACTACCTTCGGTCGGTGATTGGCCAGCCATGCTTGGTGCAGCGTCCTTCAGCGACATTGAAATCGTTTTTTGTACCAATAAATACTCATCCTGTTGTTTGTTCTTGTCGTCATCCGTCGCTGAGCTCGACAGCAATTGTAGACTGGATGTTTTGGTTTTTGCAATAATTTCATGGTTTTCGTAGTTTAGACTCTTTGCGAAGCGTTTCACACTGGCCGCTGTTATCGAATTGTTGCCCGTGTTGACGGTAGAAAAGGAAATCCCGTTGCGACGACCATCAAAACTGGCATTTCGTTGTTCGCTCGAAATTCGTCGATGTTCCACATCCTCTTCAGTGTACGAAGCGCTTTGTGTGCTGTCATTGCGTCGCAACTCGGCTGTGCCTTGTGCTCCCATCTCATCGTCAGCAAACGGATTGATGATGTCGGTGCTCGTCTTTACCACATTCTCCACGGAGCGACGACCAATCGAATGGGAATTCTCATGAAGGAATTCATTCATCGAAAAATTGGTTTTGTTTTCGGTTGATTTTTTCGATTTGTTCAACGCTACCGCATCATCCAACGTGGACGATTGATTCGAAATGCTGCTCTCGGCCGAATTTTGTCGTCGCATATTCGAATTTCCGGCGCCTAAAAACGGGTCGCGTTCGAAACTTTCCCCATTTTCACCGTTTATCGAGCGATAATTTCTGAACGCACCATCGGTGTACCGTTTGTTTGCAGCGTTCCGTCCAATAGAAGCGGACGGCGACGGTACACTGCCGAATCGGGCGTAATCTTCATTTGGAAACCGTGGTGATTGTGTTCCGCGTCGATCGTCGAAATGTGAGCTTGAGCTACGATTTGCACTGAAAAGTGGTGAATCAGGAGCACGTGGAGCAAACATTGGTGAGTCTGGTGCACGATTTCGTGGCGAAAAGAACGGTGAGTCGGGTGCTCGTTGGTTAACTGGGATTAAATCCGGTATTGGGTCACCTTCTGATCGATTTGCATCGGTTGTGTCGGATTTTGCAGCGATACTTTGATTATCGTCCGTGTCAACCTCGGTCATTTTCTCTGAATCACTCGCAAGCACATCGGTTGACCAAGCTGATTCCGATCGTGTGTCGGATGCATCCAGGAAATTGGCGCGCAACTGTGGATTTGCCAACGGATTGAAATTGTTGTCGCCGGGCAGAACGACAGCGCTTGGAATCAATGGTGTCGAGAAATTGCGTTCATTTTCAACCGGTTCGAGTGTTTCAGAATCACTTGCTAGCACATCCGTTGACCATGTATCCGAAATGATTGAAATGGTTTCATCACCTTCAACGAGTTTTTTTATTTCGAATTTGCAGAATTTGTCATCGATGTCCGATCGAGCTTTGTTCAGTATTTTGGTCATCTGAGGCGTTGGAATTTGGGCAGTTTCACCTTCGGTCACTTGTGACGACGGTGTATCACGGCCGCTAATATTTGGCGTTCCACGACCAGAAACATTCGCTGAAACCATATCCGAGAGATTGTCATTCAAATTTTGATCATTCTCTTCCAATTCCAATGAACTCGTAACCGAATGATTGCTGGGCGCTTCACTGACCACCTCCAGATTGTCCGAATTGCCAATCGATTGGTCGTCTTGCGACAATGAGAATCGTGTGTGTTTGCGTGTTGGTAAAACCGCCCCCAATTCATCATCAAACGCTACATTGTTTGTCTTATCGAGTGTGCCAACGTTTTGTTCGGTGAGTGCGGGTTCAATTTCGTTGCTAATATTGTTCATATTGAGCACTTCCTGTTCGGTTAACAGCTGGAATTTATTTTCTTCACTAATCGAAATCGGAATCAAAAGCACATTTTCACTGTCATCACTGTGATAAACATTATTGTTCAGACCCACCGAACCATTTAAATTAACACTTGCCGCAACATCATCGCTGTTGTTGTCATTGTGATTGCCACCGTTTCCAACGTTTAAACTCATCGTTTTGGCCAGTTTATTTCTTGTATTTTTGCCCAAATTTAATAGCTGCTTCGTTTTGCTTTGGCTCTCCGGTATGTTTGCACCAGTTGCCATGTTGCTGGTGCTTTGGTCCCCATTCAAAACCGATTCAAATTTAGTTGGTAGCTGCTCAAGAATTTTTCCCAATTTACGTCGATCCTCACCGCTTATTGTCAACTCATCGTTATCCAAAACGGTTCGCAGAAAATCCACAAAAATGTTCAGTTCATTTTGTGTGACCAACACATGTCTACGTCCGAAATCATTTTGATGCGGTATTGCCATCGAACTAACGCGTATGTCATTCTCAGTCTCAATTAATTGCTCCATCAATTCGGAAATGACATTGCGATCAAACATACTGAACAGTTCCACGTACTTTGGATCGATGTCCTCGTGCCTCATCAGTGCAAACATTTGCAGAATTTGTCCGATTTGAATGAGATTCATGCGTGCATTTTCGGAAATCGGTGCGTCGGAAATGCCATACAAATCGGGACTCACAACCGCGGGGCAAATGAAATTCGTGAAAATCATATCAGTCAAAATGTCATTGATATCCTTATCGTTCACGTGCACCGATCGAAGCAGGTGACACATGGTCTGCACGACCCACCGAAGGGTCGATGGAAACATTGCCCAATTGTCACTCAGTGACTTGATGAACAGCAGCGAAAGATCGTACAAAGCATTGATGGTGTCGCGATGGAATTCTTTGAATTTTTCCGCGTATTCGTCCGTTCCTTCGTGACCGAACCTGTGCGAAAAAAAGATGAATTTAGTTCGTACTTCGAGGGGAAATAATTCCATTCGACTTACTTCTTCTGTCGTTCCTTTGCCGGAAAGTTCAAAACCGCTTTATTCGCATCGATATCCAGAACCAAATCATCGCCAATTAATACCTTCATGACGGGCTCGTGCAAAGCGGCGGTCAGGAATAATTTGGCTGAGAAGAGACTCTCATGGAGTCGACTGTAGAGACGTGAAAATGAACTCGCTCCACTGCGTAGCATTCGACGCGGATTCTCACTCACAATTACTTGGATTTCAATCAAATCTCGCAGCAACCGCAACACCATATCAACATCTTTCGAGAGGATTGCATTACCATATAGGCCCGTGGCAACGGTTCGTACCACCGAATTAATTTGATCATTTGATACTTGCTCCAATCGATCGCCAACCGACAAACTTTGCGCCAGCAAATACGGCGAATGATGCAAAAAATTGAACAGCTCATTGTAGGCAAGCACATGCTAAAACGAAAAACAGTCAAAAAATTAATTTTGTCTTATCAGCGCAACAAAGGCACAGCCACAAATCGTAATGTAAATATTTGCATGCTTACTTCGTATTTCATGCCTTTGGCTTTGTGCGCCTCAATGAAACGTGTGTTTTCCAGTGTGTTTGCTTTGTGACAGCATTCCGATGGGCCTGTGTCTGGTCGCGATATGATCAAACTGTTTAGATTTTGTCGTTGCTGTGAACAAATCCAGGCCAACTGAATTTGGTTTTTCGGGGATATAGGAAAGAAACAATAAGTTAATTTCATTCTTGAGCGGGTGGATTTTTTTTTTTCGTTCATTTCATAACATAAAAAGAATCATTTACCTGCGCTACATTTGATGAATTCCGTGACAGTGTTTCGTTGAGTCGATTAAATGAAGCCTGTTCGTTTGCCATGAACAAATGCTCTTGTCGAAGTGAATGTGCCAAATCGATGATTTCCAGCAGATTGCCATTGTTGATGTCCTGCATTTTCCCACTGTCTCGAAAACGGGTTCAATGTATCGATGATTGTATCACACCCAAATCAACTGGAATGAGAACCAAAAATTGGGGCATCGATTAATAAACGGAATATTTGGATAAGAGAGCACTTCCGTGTAAATCAAAATATCACACAATTAATTGTCTTTGTCGATTTAACGCCCACTTGCAAAAATATTCGCCCGTAGAGATCAAATACGAATGACTGATCGACCGACTTGAGAAAATAATGGAACAATAATTTTGATTGAACGCATTGTGTAAAAACAAAAAAAATATGGAACAGAATAAGCGAAGAGAGAGTGAGAGAGAGAGAGAGAGAGAGAGAGAGAAAACGAGAGAGAGAGAAAACGAGAGAGAGAGAAAACGAGAGAGAGATAGAGATAGAGGCACAGTGTAGTGTCACGGTAACTCGATAAAAAAGAACCATACACTCAGCACGTAATGAATGAAAAAACAAAACGGAACTGTATATTGAGCAGTAACAGCAACAACAACAACGGATCTCATACATGAATGCAGAGATAAACGTTCTATCAGCAATGAATGTGTTGCTTTTTTCCCCCTCGTATCGGTTCTGTGCATGAAGAACGCGCGCGCACTACACATGTAAAGCACACACAACGCGAACAGATTTCCAATAATAATTGAATAACATTGCATGTGAACTGCACGGCTTTAATTTTTAATCAAGGTTATGATGAGCAAAACAAAGCTAGCAAAAAAAGGCAGCAACACAGCAACAATAGCAGTAAGCAACGAAGAATCAACAAACCGCGAAATAAACACGATCGCATTCATATGTTCACACTCAACCGATTCCACAAAAACAATGCAAACACGACGAAGACGAGCAAATATGAAGTCGAGCTACGAACACGAGCCAAGAGAATTAAGTGTCAAACGCAAAGCAAGAAGAAGGAGTGAAGGAAAATAATAACAACAACAACACCACTCCAGAAATGAATTTCATTTACATTCGACGGTAATCCATGAACAATTAAAAGAATTACGAATAAATCCCTGATAAGCAATTGAATTGCTATTCAAATTAAAGCAACGACAAACGTATTGATTGTGTGTGTACTCTTTGGTTTGCTCTGCTTTCTGTTTGACCCACGCGTATTTTATTTTATTAAATATTCAATCAGTTGAAATATCACACACAAAAACAAAGAACACTCATTCGGTGACTAAAGTGTTAAAATGACGTTGTTTGTTTCAACCAAATCACCATCATCATCAGCAGTAGTGTGCTTGGCTGGTGCACAACAAAAACATAACATTCATTTTACCTACTCAATTCCATGCATACGATTTATTTTCTCTGTTATTGGTTTCATTAGTTTGTTTTGCTTATTTTGATTCTTTCGCTCGAATCATTTGATGTGTTTGCACAATCAGCGAAGGAGGCTGTGTGCGTGAGGAAGTCAACTAATTTGTGGTGTTAAACACATGCAAAGCATCTCACACACGGCCAATCTTCGTTGTCACTATCTCTCTCGTTGCTCGCTACATTCAGTCAGACATACGCGCGTATATCACATACACACGGTCTATATAGTAATTACGACGACAACAACAAAAGCAGCAGCAGCAACGACCACGACCACGACGACGGCAATGATGGTGATGATTTCGAATGATTTGTTCGGTGCGACGTGCACGCAAGCGAGAGACTGTATGAGCGACGGATATCAAGAAGAGAAAACACAAAACAGAACACGAACGAATTTTGAAGAAGGTAAAAGACAACCCAAAATGCAGCATACTATTTTCGATACATACGATACTGAACTGACTTATGCGTAATTTCTATTTTAGCCTACATTTGCTTGTTCTTCATCTACAACTCGAGAACAATTATGAGTTTATTTCAATGGAATTGTCAAAACATTCATGGGAAACAGTTTTCGATTGGGTTTTTTTCTTTCACTGCAATTATTTCACGTCGGAATTGTCGCACGAGCATCGACGAACTTTGCACGCAAACAAAACACACTTTGGCATTGATCGGGTCAATCCTTTCACATTTTCATTTTTTCTTAATTTACACAACAAATTCTATTCACCTTTTTTCATCCACATTGAATGCCTTGAATGATTTGCAACACTTCGATGCGATCGTTTTGTTTCTCTATTGCTATTTAGTTTGTCGACACCAACTAAACGCTTATACTCGAACAACAGACGATTAAATTTCAACAGAAATACAACACAAACTAAATTTAATTCGAAATTTTCACTTTGCCTCGTTTCGTTTTGAAATCAAATGTTCAACACGTCGTATTTTCAGACTTAGTTTTTTTATCTTCTTCTTTTAAATGTTTATAAATTATAAATTCGCATTTTATGTGTACGAATTGGATCACATCACTACGAATACTATATTCTCACTGTGGCCAAACAGCTACAATGCAAATATACTCGTGACGGTGGTACGACAGAGACAGACCATTGCATTCACAAATTTTGCACAAGATACATTCCGTCATTTGTGTGCGTCGTGTGTGTGTGCATGTTTGTGAAAGTGTTTTGGTTTTGTGAGACGCCTGCTAATTTCGACCGTATTCTATAGATGAGTTAGGACGGTTTTTGCCTTCATTTTCACGCGTTGTCTGGTTTGCATGGCTTGTTTTCGGTGACGCCATCTAGGGGATTTTTCGAGAAGGAAATCGGCTTTGAAATGAGACTAACCGAATATTGCGAAGGTTTTTCCTTGTTTTTTCTCTTTAAAAAAAAACAACAAGCGTTGCTATTGGAATTGCTTGATAACCGTGAATTAAAGGATTTTATTCATCCCATGATGATGTTTTCCTTCTCATTTTCATCTCACAATGGATTTGGATTATTCATGAAAATATTTCGATCTTCCTCTATCCCAATAGTATACGCGCATTATTTCATACCGAAAATATGATGAAAACAAATTATGAGAAACAGATTTTACTTCCTCAGCCTTCTTGGTACGGTTCAAAAAGTAATATCCTCCACTATTCTTCCGTCTTTTCTTCCCGATCAATTATAAGTTCATAAATAATAAGAAAATTGGTCTGGTTACACGTGGCATTTATGTATTATTTCCTTTCGTTATCACTGTACCGTTCTCTGGCCGCCTTATGCTTCAAGTTCCGTATGAAAAAAATTAGACGAAAATTGCCAACACGTTCTAACGATTTTGTTGAAACGTTGTTTTTGTGGGCACATACGACAGTTCAGCTGTACGTTCAACCGGTAAATGGATGAAAAATTGGTAGAACAAGCCATTGAAAATGGTTTACGATCTTGTTAGAAAGGTAATAAAAGCAACACGTCGTAAAGTATTTTCTTTTTCCCTTCGATGAAACTCCTCTTCCGAGTGATAAGTCATACAATAATGCCGGGCAAAAAGAGAGACTATCGGGAAAATTGCTGGTGATTTATTTACCGCAAGTGGTTTTTGAATCGAAACCATCGATGTTTTCAATTAAATAACCCAAAACATGGTCACAACCGAACAAGGTAGAAAGCATCAAACGTATGTGTTTGTTTTTGGAACGATCTATTTTCGTTTTCTGGGCAAAAGAAGCAGATACAGACGTTTCTGATCATATTTAACCAAATTTGACACAAAAACAACACCAAAAAATATTTATTAGGACTGAATATAACAAAAACGAAGGGAAAAAAATACAAATCTTATACGGAAGCGCAGTGCATGCAAGTGGAAGAGAGAGAAAGTAACGAATCCAAAGTGCAGCGGTGAAGAAAAAAAAATGAAAAATGAAATTTTAAAAGCAATAAATAAGGCAATTAAGCATCGTATCGATTTCAGAATGTTCCGGCGCTGTCGACGAAAACGACGACAACAGGACTGGTCGACAGCAAAAAAAGCGATAAATTGTTGAAATGTTTATATTTTTGTCAGATTGCTTACCCTAAATTTGTTTGCGATATGACTTAAGTACTACAACCGAATTTATTCTCAGATTTCACAAAATATCGAGAGTAAAACTCCTTTTTTTTCATCTTTTGTTCACTTTTGAGAATTTTTCATGTTTTTTTTTTCAAGAACATTTTTTTTACCCATTTGATTTATATGAGTGAATCTATTGAAGCAAAAATCCAACCAGGTTTGAGTTGGTCATGTAAATGGGAATAAATAGTTAAGTGGAAGCTTGGCGCCGGCACGATGAGAAATCCCTTTCCAAGCAAATAATATTATTTCGAGTGTTTCAGATCAATTGAAAAGCGTTTAAATAATCATAACTTCTATTATTAAAACAATGTAATGATTTCAAAATTGACGCTTTAATAATCGGTTCGAATTGTGTTTGTTTGTTGGGCGTGAAGATCAAAGGACTTGTTTGCTTTGTCGGCAGCTATAAAAAATCGTTATAAAAATCACATCGTAGTCAAAATATAGCCGTAAAAATGTAATTATCATCAATATTTGTGTCCTAATGCACGAGAGCCAATAAATACGACCATATGCACATTCGGGTGCAATGCAAACGTCGATTGTGATAACGAAGCGGCTAATGAAACACTTAGTGGCTCTATATGTTCACAGCTTTTTATTAATCCCCGAGTCCCACGTCACCAATAAACGTGTTTTAATGACGAATTACCTATGATTTTATGACATTCTAACTAATAATCCAATCACACCAATCGAACGGCATTGCTTTCATCTTTTCACTGTTGTCTCCTGAGTGCAAGCAGTTGTTCGCAAAAAGCCGTATAATTTTATTTCCTATCCCGAGAATACATTGCCGTCAGGATGTGCGTACAAGAGTCTGTTCTTCTCTGAAAGGAAATATTTTCCACACTGAAGTCGCTCTTTTCTATGTTGACTTGAATTTTTATTGTTGACTTGGATTGTTTTTCTTTGATTTTCAGTTGACAAAAAACAGTTCTCTTCCTAAGATTCTAGTAGAAAATGTTACCCGAATCCATCTTTCTTTCTCTTCTGAGTCAAACTCGAATGCGGCTGACATTTTGTCTGTGAATCGGCGAACAACTGCACAAACGCCGTTAAGATGTCGTGTCCAATTAAAATCACGTTAATTAATGACTTTGTACGCACTGGAAACATTCATCTCTATTCTCTATCAACCGATTCATTCATGTTCGAGATCTATTTTTGAGCGATAGATTCGAAGCATCGTCAAACGTTTTTTTTTTCTTCGTTTTCTCGTTCAATTTTTGTCGAAATCCAAAGAAGAAAAGAGTCAAAATTTGGAACGGAAACTACTTTTTGTAAGCACTGAGAGGAAAAACTCTTTCTTGGTCAACTAGAGCAAAGAAGACTTTCTTTCAAGATATCAAAGGAAGAAAATCGAAAAGAATCTCTTTCATTTGTTCCAATTTTAAATGAGAAAAATGAAATTGAATTTACAATTAATAAGTTATTAATTTGCTTATATCATTATTAGCTAAATCAATGGGATGGCTTGTGCGCAAATCAATTGAAATAAATTAGATTAGGCGAATTATGAAGGCTGGAATTTGTAAGTTGGAATATTTCATCGTGTTCAAACTTAAAAGGCGCGTTCACTTTCGTTGCGTTGGCACCGTGTTTAACACCGAAAATCAAGTCGAATTAAATTAATTGTGTGAAATCGTGTGTCTGCTTGTAAATGTTCTGATTAAATTACAGGCATTATGCTTTGATGATGGCATTCGTGTGTTTGTTTTTATTAATTTGCTAACAAATGCATCGCAAAATCAGATTATACAATTCGTTCTATGGGCTGTGCAGCGTTGATAGCTGAACAAATCTGTGTTCTCAAAATTAATTTCATGCATGCCGATTGTGTATTACTCCTCCCACAAAGTGGTGCGTGGCTTAATTGAACGAGCACGTGAACGAGCTCGAACAAATGTGTAGCAAAGATCGCGCGCGGCATTTGTATGAAAATTGTCTGAATCACGGGTAAAAGCGAACATATCAGAAATGGGTCTATCGAATGAGCGGAGAACAGAAAGTGTGCATGTGTGACAAGCGATCAACGATCGAGAAAAACGACTTCAAACGTTCGGCGTAGCACCAAAACGAAAACAGAAGTCAAACTAAAACAGAGACGAGATGTAAATGTGAAAAAAGGAAGGAGGATCGCTGTGGTTGCACAGCGTTGTTAGCACCACCAAAGTCTCTCAAGATCAACATCAACAGCACTTCAACATAATTTCAGTAGTCAGTTGACTAGCGTTTGATTAAGTCAAAAACCATTCATTTTAATTTGGTTAATTTAGTCAAAAAAAGAATTCCATTCAAAACGCATCGATCTTCGTCGTTTTTTCTCTGATTTGTTTTTATAATCAACTCGTGCGATTTCATTGAACTGAGGCGAAAAAGTGCGTATAACAGTATTTGTGTTTTTTTTTTGTTGCTATTCCACGTGTCGCGCGTGTTTGTAGATTTATTCCGAATTTTTGTGTGTGCCCATCAAAATTGGCAACGCTAATTCAATTAAGAGTAGTATTTTCGGTGGCACACACCTCGTAATTTAATTAAGCTGCGAACAAATTTGGTGGATGCTTTTCAATTACGCCATTGAATTCGAATTCAAGAACCGAACGAAAAAGTGCAAATCGGAGAAATGTTGAATTTTAATGCGATTGATACGAACCCAAACACATCGTTTTCCCATTCGCTACACGGTGCAAATTTCAGCGAAGCGCCGGCAATGGTTTCATCATCGCCGTCAAATCAACAGCATCATCACCATTCGACACAGGCACAGCAGATCAATTTGAATTATCTTGGCGCAAACACAAGTGGCAATCAAACCAGCTGGACGCATTCGGATTCCGTTCATAACACATCAAATTCAACGATCGATGACAATTGCAATCGGAGTAACAACAACAACAATTTGCCAAATCCAAGTGAAACTACCCGTGATGTTCAACATCAAAAGGATTATTTGCAAACGGTTATCGGTGCTGACGATTCAGACGGTCGATCGACTTTGAACATGGGCAATTTTCTGCAACAAAAAGGTTCGGAAAATGTTAAACGATTCTCAGTTAACAATTTACTACAATTGGCCAATAACTGTCGGGCATTAGTCGATGAACATCGACTATCCTCCGGTAAGTAACAACACTTTAGCAATGAAAAATGTATATTTTTAGCATGTGAGGGCCCCGGTAATTTTTATCACTAGAGACGAAGAACGTGATTAGATCGTAAAGACTGAATTAGCGATTTTTTTGTCTACCGAAAAAGTGGGTGATTAGCGTGTCATTAGCAAAAAAAAATTGGCCGGACTTTCTTATGTGAACAAAAGGCTTGGAGATATGGAGAAAAAAAAAGATGCATCGGGCAAAAGGTCAAACTGAAGTAGTGTAAACCATATTTTACCGTCACAGCTTCGTCGATATTGGCAACTAATTTGAGTCATTTTGTGGAACAAAAAAAGGTGACGTGATTTGCCTAGCATACCAATTAGCGTCTTTTTTTCTCGATTTGAAGGACGATTCGTCAAAATGTTTGATTCTACTTCGTGTCGAATCACCTTTATTAGATTGTGTTCAGTGCTGCAAAAGCCTTTAAGTGATGCATTACTACGGTGAGACTAGTGATAATTTTCTTCAAATGGTTCGGAAACCAATTCAATTTCAATTTGTCCAAGTTTCAAGCGTTTCAAACGCAACAAACTTGTATTTTTTCCGCAATTTTAAGTGCTTTATCTTCCGTCGCATTTCAATTATGGTTCTACCGTTTGACTAAATTGATGTTCAATTCTCATCACTTTTGATGTGCAATGCAATTATTCATTTTATCGCTAAATTTCCTCACGGTTTTCTCTTTCTCGCCTTTTTCGTGCTGCTTTCCTTTAAAAAAAACATCTTTTCGTGCCGTATATTTTTTGTGTCGTTTTTTAAAAACCTTTTTTGTGTTTGAATTCCCCAGCGACAATTCACACATTTGTTGCATTGCTTCCATCTGCGCACTTCTTTCTATATCAATTAAAATGCATTTGCATCGAAATGTGAAAATGCAGTTTCCAACGCGCGCGCTCACGAGCTACGGCTCATTTTCACTTAAACGCGACATATTTTACGCTATCATTAACCAAATTGGTACATCACCACAAAAACCAACTCCAGTGATTTCGCTGTTCAAGTGGAAAAAAACGGGAAGTGTCGCGGTTGTGTCAAGTGCACTAACGTTAAACACGAAGATGATTTTCTTCGTTTTTTTCCCTCGACTCATCAACACAGTTTGAGTGACAGGATTTATGTTGTACAAAGCAACAAGAAATGGAATACCTATAACATTCACTCATTCACTGTCTTTTTCATGAAAGGGATTAACTACATTCAAAGCAATTCAAAGTAACGAATGACTTTTCGATCATAAAATCTTTCATCCAACAAATTGCCGGCTTGAATGAAAATACCGAGTGTTGTGTAAATAGAAAAAAATTTGTCATCAACGCACACGCACACATCACATAAATTGTAACTCATTCCTTTTAAGTCGATTGCTTACATTTTACGTCAGATTAATTCGATGAACCGGATAACGTAAATTTTAACCGAATTGAGCGAGAGAGGGTGAGCGATTACTTTGGAATAGAAGTAAAAAAAATGGAGAAAACAGTGTTTTGAAATCTAAGTAAAAGTATTCACTTTCGGTTTGGCAAGCAACTCAAATCCATAAAGAGAATTTTAGTTGAAAAAAAACGTAATACCTTTACCTCGAGGCATGAACATGTGCTATAGAAAAAAACCTTTGATAAAACTCCAATTCCAATTTGAAATTTTCTAATTAATAGTCCAAATTAATTGCTCTTGACCAAAGCAAAATTGAAAACGCCTCTTTCAGATACTTTCTTCCAAGTACACTTGAAGAAGCTGCAAATGTCACTTGTTTGAAAATGTTGTTATTAAGTAATTCAATACCTCCACTTGGAGATGAGAGTAAAAGAAAACACTTGATAAATCGGAATAAATAAATGTGCCGACAAGCAACAGCATATTATCCTTTTTGCCTGACTGTTTGAACAACTGAAATGATGAACATGAAATCGATACAGTGAATTATGCCACGCGGAGATAAACATGTACCAAAAAGTCCGCATGAATGTTACGCAGAGACTCGAATGTAACGAATTTACCATGTGTTGGTTATGGTCGAGATGTGAGCGACAAAACGACAACAAGCATAACATACATTGCTACTGATTTTTGAAAGATCATTTTTCATTCTTTGCTACTTACATTCTTCGTTTTTTCGTTTACTATGCTGGTTTGAATGCTATGCACCGTATCTCCTTGGCGCAATGTAATTTGGACTCTCGCACTATCGATATGCTGCGGTGGATTTCAAACAAACGGTTTTATTCGTGTCTTTGCCATAGTTTTGCAACATATTATGGTTTACCATTTTATTCGTAGGATAGTTTTACTTGAGGAAGGCGCCTCTGAGCTAATCGTTGTGCATAATTTTAGTTAATTGGGAAACATCAAACGGTTCAAGTATTATTTGGTGGTTTGGAGCAAATTTTTCGCGTAATGTGTGAAATTCATAGTATAAACCCTTGCGCATACGATTGAAATTGAAGCAACGTGTGTGTTTTCCGTTCACGCTCAGTCCACCGGGAATTGATATCTGTTTAAATGAGTTTTTATGTACAAAAGTAACTGTCAAGCGGATTTGAAAAGGAAATTCGGTTAAAGAGTCACGAGACATACATCTTCTTCTTCTTTTTTCTTTCGAAATTGAAAGTGCATTGACTTTGTGTTGAACTCGGCCCGTTCACATGAATGGATTGGAACTATTTTTTGTCTGAAGTATTTTTTTCCCTTGAAAATATGAAGATTTGCTTAAACTTCTACCAACCCTTTCTTTCCATAATAAAAAGGAGGATCTACAATGTGAATTCTGAATTTTCTACTTTGAAAAAAAAGAGCCGTGGGTTCGGTCACAGTGGAACTTCAACTATTTTCAAAAGATCTCTTCCAAAAGCTTTAAATTCAAACTCATCTCGATCGATCAACATCAGTTGCTTTTCATTGCCCTTGTCTCACTTCATTCGTTAGTGAAAAGTGTGCATGTGTGAATAAGTAAGACATTAAGAGATCAAGCCGATAAACTAATTCTTGGTTCGTTTGATGCCAACGAAATGTGGCATTAATTTTCTAATTACTATCAGATCAACGATCAATCAAAGTTGCTGAAATTCTTGGCATTTACATTTGCAAATGGCAATGTGCATCGTGCAACGCAGATCGTTTTTTTTCTCGGCTCAAAAGTGTATCACGTTTGATTGAAATTAAATTTAAACAAAATCATCATTGTTTTAATGCGTTTACATAGTTGTGAATGCATTTCATTATACACATTCGGGCGAGTTTAATTAAAGCCACATTTCTATTTCGCAGAAGAGACGTATGCAAGCGATCATTTGAACGAAACATCGTCCAATAGTTGCATGGTGAATTCAACGAAAAAACCACGACGTAATCGAACAACATTTACTAGTGGCCAATTGAATGCATTGGAAAAGATTTTCGAGCGCACACACTATCCGGATGCATTTGTGCGGGAGGAGTTGGCTTCGAAAGTCGGTCTGAGTGAGGCTAGAGTGCAGGTAAGGCGTACAAAAATGTTGGGGAATTACTATACAATTTAACACCTTTTTTTGAAGATAAATAAATGTGAAGCGTCCAAAACTCCTTTATTCCTCGTTTTTGCATAACGAACCAATAATAAATGAACCATACTAGGTCCTTCTTGTTTGATCGATTCTAACAAATTATTCAAATGTTCCAGGTGTGGTTTCAGAATAGACGTGCGAAATTCCGTCGCAACGAACGTTCGTCGACGTCAAATCGTTCGTTGGTTTCACAATCGCCGGGGCAACCAGTGCCAGTTATTGCACACAATCAACACAAGGTCATGGATAAAACACATTTTCCAACATCGTCACCAATCGATGGCATTCCAATTGCACCGGCAACGCATTATTCACTTGGTTTCACGAGTTTGGGTGTATTTAGTACGGCCGCAGCTGTTGCCGCTGCCAATTCAACGAAAAATGCGAATTTCAACTACGCCAACTCGTACAATCCATATCATGCGGTGGCTCCAGCTGAAAATAATCCTTATCTTGCCAGCAACTACTGTCAACCGAACTATAACAATTTTGCGTCGTTTCGATACAAAGCACAAGCCGTTCCACCGCCACCAACACACGGATACTCGGCCATTTAGCATAGATGAGCCGAGTGCATTATGCGTTAGTTACGGACTTATTTTTTAAGCTGAAATAAAGGATGTCTAACGAAGTAATATTCAGTTAAGAGACAATTTCGAATTTTGCTATTTAAAACAAAAGCGACTGACTGCCGAAGAAGACAAATAAAAAAACCATTGGAATTGATTTAATACACAACAATTTCTCACATATATAGATAAAGCATCTTTATTATTGACTTTTGGATTTTAAATAATTTAAAATATTAGAACGTATTAGAAGAATTACACATATGAACGGTCGTGAGTTGGTGCTTGACAGTGAAAAATAATTCAGTAAACTCGTTTTTATTTGTTCATTTGAAAAATTTGTTTTTTTTTTCTCTCATCTTCATCGGTGAAATAAAACACAGTGCTCAATCTCAATTTAGAACATTTTCTTCCGCACAGCTGTGAATCGTTCCATGTAATCGTCGTATCCAGGTAAATCGTTGAATTGTTTCGTCGGAAATAGATTACCGTCCAAATATAGATTGGAAATTTGTGAATCTTTCAGAATTTCCGTATGTATTTCGGTGATAGGCAAACAATTTTCCTCAAGTCGTAGCGTTTTCATTCGTGGACACTCGGCGATTTCAATGGCCAACGATGCAATTTGGTTTTGATTACAGTTCAATTCGGTCACATATAGATTTTTCACTTCCGACGGTATTGCAGCGATTTTGTTGCGTGACAAATCTAAAACATCCAAATTTTTCATGCCACCAAACATCGTTGGGAATTGTGTGAGTTGGTTGTTATTAAGATGCACTTGCTTCAAATTTTTCAAATTGACCATTTCACGTGGAATGCTCACTAGCATGTTGCTCATTGCGTTGAATGTTTCGAGTTTAATTAATTGGCCGATGGCAGCGGGTAGTTCGGTGAGACGATTTTCACTGAGGTTCAAGTGCTTGAGCAGTGTAAATCGACCGATGTCGTCGGGCAAGGTGATGAAACGATTCTCAGATAAATCCAATGTTCTCAGCACATTTGGAAAATTTCTCATATGTGGTGGAAATTCCGTCATACGTTGTTGGGATATCTTCAGTACGCCCGTTTTTTGTGCCGTTTCAAAATGCTGCTTTACCACTTTGTTTCCCATTTTTTTATATCGTCGTTTGTTTTGGACTTTTGTTTATCAACTCGAAGCGAACAAAAAAAAGATACTTTGTGCAATCACGAGCCCCGTTTGTTGTGAAATGAAACAAAAAAAAAACACTTCTAATACAGTGTGATACAGTGACCAAGGTCTTTATGAGTCACACCTCCACCACACACACCGTCGAACTGAACTATTTTTTTTCGATCTATTTGTTCAAAGTCATGCAAACGCTGACTCAATTAACTCTAATTATTTCGTTTTTTTTGTTAATTTATTTAACAACAACCGAGCTATATGACCTGACTGCCTGCACAACACAGTATGCATCTGTTGATTAATTGATGCGCATGACAGCTACCCAGTATTCAACCCGTACTGTCATTTCTATTTGTTGACAGTTTCATATTTTTGAATCGGTCATCGTTAACTTTTTATTTGGATGAGAAAAAAATAAATTTCGAGTCAAAGGTGAATTCAAATGGATTGTTTGAACTTTTTTCGTTTAAATATTCTTCGGGAATATTTTTTCGATGAACAATTGTCGTGTTCAACATTGACCGATGAGCAATGTTAGTGTGGTGAATTCCAGTCCAACTATTTTCAAATTCACCATCATGATGACACTTCCATTAGATGTCAGACTCGAAATCACTATCTATTGTATTTGATGAATTAGCGAAAACAAAACTTTCTTTCCATACTTTCTCATCGCAGGCCGATCATCATCACACAGCATAACTTTTCCACTCGATAATCATGATTCACAGTTTATTCATTGTTAATTCAAGCGGGTAATTATTTAAAAATGCTGCAAATTCCGTTTGCTCCATGGAGAATTTTCTATCTGTATTTTACAATTGCAGTGACATTTTTCTGGAAAAGCATTGGCGTAGTGTTGTCTCACGTTCCGTATGTGATTACTTTTTGGATGCACAACGAGCCTCACCGAATGTATGTGAACTGGATTTGGGTTTTTAAAAGTTGGTTTTCATCGATATTTTCCCAATATATTCCAGGATGTACCACCTGTCATACAAACGCCGCACTATTATTTGATCTCGATTCAGCGTGGAAATGTATCATTGGTTGCGGCTTGTAAACAAGAGACTCAACCACTGTTTGTTATTGAATTTTTGCACCGTATCGTTGATACGTTTCAAGACTATTTTGCCGAATGCTCTGAATCAATTATTAAAGAGAATTGTGTGGTAGTTTATGAGCTGCTCGATGAAATGCTAGACAATGGTTTCCCCTTGGCAACTGAAAGCAACATTCTGAAGGAACTCATTAAGCCACCGAACATATTGCGAACACTAGCCAATACTGTGACGGGAAAATCAAAGTAATTTGGCCATTTCCACGTGATTTTATAGCGATTCTGTGTAAATTTCTGATTATTTTTCCACAGTGTAAGCGGAACACTGCCATCCGGTCAGCTCAGCGCTATTCCATGGCGTCGAAGCAGCGTCAAGTACACAAACAACGAAGCTTATTTCGATGTTATCGAAGAAGTCGATGCGAGTATGTGTAACAATTGTGTATTTTAGTTCGATTTAGAAGCAAAAAATTGATTTTTCTTTAAATTTTCAGTTATCGATAAATCTGGTCAAACTGTTTTTGCGGAGATTCAAGGATATGTACGCATTATTAATACATTTCTTACGTTCTATTTCGTTTTACTTTCAATTTTCGCTATTTCAGATTGATTGTTGTATAAAACTCTCTGGGATGCCTGATTTGACGCTCTCATTCATGAATCCCCGTCTCTTTGACGACGTTTCATTTCATCCGTGCGTTCGATTCAAGCGCTGGGAATCGGAGCGAATGCTGTCATTTGTTCCACCCGATGGAAATTTCCGTTTAATGTCTTACCACATTGGATCGCAAAGTGTTGTGGCCATTCCGATTTACGTGCGGCATAGCCTAATATTCAAATCGGGCGAGCAACAAGGGAAATTAGATATAACCGTTGGTCCGAAAACCACATTGGGTCGAACGATTGAAGGAGTTAAATTGGAGATTTGTATGCCAAAATCAGTGACAAATTGCCTGTTGGTGGTGAACCAAGGCAAATACACATTTGACACAGTGCAAAAGATTCTACATTGGGATGTGGGTCGCATCGATAGCGCAAAATTGCCAAATATTCGCGGAACAGTATCGGTTGCGGTTGGTAGCACAAATCTCGAAACCAATCCATCGATCAACGTTCAGTTCAACATATCACAGTTGGCGGTATCCGGACTTAAGGTGAACCGTTTGGATATGTACGGCGAGAAATATAAACCATTCAAAGGTGTCAAATATGTAACGAAGGCAGGACGATTCCAGATTCGAATGTGAAAGAGATGAAAAAAGAGGCAGAGAGAGACAAAACAAGTCGCAAAAAATGAGATTCGATTCAGATGCAATCCAATTCCAATCATTTTTATATTATATGATATTCCAATTAATTTTAAAAACTGTCCCATTTTTTTTTCTTTCAAAATTTTGTGAAAGAATCAAATTTTTATTGCAAACAAGCGAGCAAATGAGCAAGCAAAAACCAAAATAAAAAGTAGAAAAATTGAATGAGAATGTGTTTATTTGATAAAAGTTTCAAGTTTCCAAGATTTCCAATGAAAGGTTAATAAGCATTTGTTGGAAGTGGTGACGTTTCATGTTGCCGCTGTTTGACAGCTCCGTCTGACGTTTCCCGTAATTTTTCCAACAGCGAAAACAAATAGCAAGAATATACACAAATTCTGACACACATTCAATACTAATAATTTCTTTTTTCCTTTTTCATTAAACGTAATAAAATCCATTACGATCAATTTCCCAACTCATAATGGTCATTGTGTCCTAATTCTTTCTTGTTGTTTTGTTTTTCGTTCGTCAAGTGAATAGAAAAGTGTCGAATTTATCGATTGTGTTTACAGTCAAATTTAATTTAGACCGAGCAAATTGACCAAAAATTTACACAGATCACAATGGGTGCTTCAGAATGGGACGGTACGCTATCTTTACAACTGATTTTATTGGATGATTCATTGAAACGTGTCCGTTTTTATTTCGTTTACTTGGTTGTTAGTTTTGCGAAAGCAGGCACGCAAATTGGAGAATGATATCGATATGAAACTGGTGGCGTATAGCAAAATTGGCACATCGTCTATGCCCAGCACATCGGCAGACACGGCTCCACTGCTCAATGAACATGTTTTCGATTCACTATCCATGGAAATTGAACAAATGCTAGATAGAGTAACCACATTTATTTGCTTAAAACAAATCACCGAACATAAGCAAACATGATCACTCATTGACACTTTTATCAATTTCGTTCTCGTTTTCATTCTTATCTTTGCTGTAGCTTTCTGAGATAAATGATAAAATGGCCGAAATACCACTGACCTCCGACTCATACATGATACACACACTGCAACGCCATCGCGAGATTTTGAATGTAACGTTTCCCTTTCTAATCCTTTCCTGCAAATTTAATTAAATTATGGACATTTTAGGGTTACAAGCAAGAGTTCAACAAAATCCAAGCCAATCACACGACACGAATAGAGCGCGAAGAACTGTTGCGCGGTTCAGGCATTTCGATGAGTAGCGGCCTGAGTCGACGTGATATGTATTTGAAAGAGAGCACTCATTTGCATGGGTATGAATTTTTTTTTTTTTGCATATCTAATGGACAATCAATCGCGAACAAATTATGATGAGGATAATAATTCTTTTTTTCTGCGGTAATTTTAGATCGCATGGCCTTGTAAACGACCAAATAAGCATAGCAATGGAAACAAAGGAGCACCTTATGTCGCAGCGTCACCAATTTAAACGTTTTCAAACCCGTTTGAATGACATGTCCAATCGATTCCCATTGATATCGAGGTAAAATGCAACTGACCAAGAAGTAAACACTCTTAAATGAGAATACATCTAATTCTCCATTCAAACCATTTCCATTTACAGTTTAATTCAAAAAATCAACATTCGAAAGCGACGTGATTCCTTCATTTTGGGTCTGGTGATAGCAATTTGCACATTTTTATTAATTTTATATGCATTCAATTGATTCACTATCGTCATTACTATTACTATTGTTAGCGCATTCAAATCAAATTTATATTTTTCTTCTTCTGGTAATTATCTCGCGATGCAAAGAAATTATAATTGACATTTTTGGTCCGGCTGTTAGAAATTTGTATGGATTATGTGAAAGTACGTGTTGCGCAACACATTTATTGTGAAGTAAACAGAAAAGTGGTGTATTTTATGAGAAAGGAAGGAGAAATGCATTGAATTCTTGAGAATGTAAATAAATAACTTGTTCAAACGCAGAGTTCTTTCATCAAATAAAAATCAAATGAAATTTATCATAATCGTTTATATAGCGAACATTTTGGTCTTCTCTTTTTTATTCTAACCACTTTCGTTTCGGACCGTGTGATTCGTTGTATCGCGATAGCGATGATTTCGTTGTCAAGACATTATTCTGCTATTTCTGTATGACGTTACTGCGATATCTGAATATGGTAATGATGCCGACGAACCATCGACCTAACGAATTAACAGTGTTATCTGGTCTATGCTCAAAACTAGATGAAATGAAGATGAAACTTGTTTAAAAACGATAGCTTCTATGGTATATACTTTCATCCTGCTACGAAGATAGCATGTGATTCTAATTTATGGGACATAATATAATGTGTTTGAATACCAAAAAAAAAAAAACTTCTAGAATTTTTAAAATATAATCTACGTCATTATCGCTATGTATTTTCATAAAATCGCATCTTTTTATGTAATAATACTAGCAAGATGCTTGCGAGGCTCAAGCACATTTACTGGATTCGATATTGTGTTTCATAGAAGCTTTAAAAAAACTCGAAGAATTTAAAGAAAATATCAATGAAAGTTCTTCTAAATATGTCTTTCTTTCATTTCCTTTAATAATATGCATGCTGCTTGGTTTATTGCGGAAGTTTCAATCAATTTTCACTCAAAAAGTAATAGTTACAGAGAATGAGTAATTGCAAAAGTAATTTTTGACCAAAAATTACACACAAAATGTAGTTTTCTATCAAATATTACCTTTAAAATTAGTTTTTTTTTTCTGGCAATTACTTTTGAAATAACTCATTCTCTGACTATATTTTAAAATAGAACATACAGACGCCGAAAAGACGGACATTTCATTTTAAATTGTATATAGATTGTACCACTTTAAGAACTTAATCATGAACAATTTATTAAAACTCATTGTGAAAACAAAACATTGAAATAACATCAAATTGTTGACAATGATGGATTAAAATGCATTCGATTCGAAGAGGCTGAAAATGCAAAAGGTAAAAAGATTGCATATTGGCACTGATTGACATTTTCATGGTTACATCATTTCAATTGAAAACTCGTTCGTTTGAAATAAGATTCTTATCTGTGGCGATGTTACTTGACTATAAAGATTACGCACATGGATGCACCTGAAGTTCAGGTCCGGGTCACTTGAACGCTGAAACGAAACTGGCATTTCTAGACACTTCCTATTTTTTCAATTTTCAGAACCATTCTTCCAGAAAGGGAAATGTCAACACCATATTCTCATCGATCAGGTACAGGTTATAAAAAAGCAGAAAAAACGAATAAACTGCCAATGCGACATTTTCGCAAATCAAATTAACTGGTTTTATATATACCGAAACTGTGAGCGAAATGTTATGCAAATGAGGCAAACGCCGACGAAAGAGAAATGTGTACATCGCGGAACCGCGTTTGAACCGGCTTACACCAAATAGGTTGCAGAAAAGAAAAGAAAAGAAATAGATTAAGTGCGCGATCTTCAAACGATTGGACTTAGTTTTTGAATTAGCGAAAGACGAATTCGGTGCTTAGTGGGGAGTCGCAACATTTTTAGTATAAATACTCATTCCATTCGATTCGAAAATCAAACCAAATTTGTTCTATCAACAGGTAACAGTTTTAGCTAATCGGACAAAAATGAAAGTCTTGGTACGCAAAACAAAATTACTTCAACCATTCTGTGCAAACATTCTGGATATGAGATAATTTGTGAAATTCTAAAGTGATGGGAAAGTGTGTGTGATACTAATTACTTTTGTGTTGTTTATAGATCGTGTGCATGTTCGCCTTGGTGGCAACCAGCATGGCTGCCGGTTCAGCCAAAAAAGAAAAGCGTGGTGTATTTGGTTTGGGTTATGGTGGTTTCGGCGGTAGCTCATTCGGTTCAGCCTACTCAGCACCTTTGGCCACATCATACGCTGCCGCTCCAGCTATTGCCACCACACACCAACACACCCACTCAGTTGAACGTATCAATGTTCCACAACCCTACCCAGTCGAACGCACAATCGTCAAGACTGTTGGTGTTGACCGTCCAGTCCCACAAGTTAATATCATTTCGAAACCGTTCTTATTTTCGTAGCAAAATGGCATTCTAATCATTCTAATTTTGTTTATCGTCCATGATTTTCAGCCCTACCCAGTCCCAGTTGTGAAACACGTTCCACAACCATACCCAGTTGAACGTCAAGTCCCACAAGTGAGTATCTTTTCTTTTTTTACCTCCTAATATTTGTATATTGCCGTCTTGTTAAATTCTCATTGATATGAAACTAAAACTAATCGCAACTTCTCTTTCAAACCAGCCATACCCAGTTGCAGTTAAATACCCAGTTGAACATCCAGTCCCAGTTCCATATGAACGTGTCAGCACCGTTATCCAAAAGGTAAGCATCCACTATCAAATCAAATAAGAGAAGAAAAATCGACTTCTTTTGATAGAACAACGACGGATCTGAAAATGCCCACAATAACATTGAAACGATCACATCTAAACCTTTCTATCAATATTATATTTTCAACATGAAAATAGGTCGGAGTTCCACACCCAGTTGCCGTTGACCGTCCAGTAGCTGTTGTAAGAATTATTTTCATCTAATTACAACTTTCATTTTACTCAATCAATGAAATGCTAACGTTTTTATTTCGTTTTCAGCCATACCCAGTCCCAGTCCACACTGCTCCAGCCATCAAAACCATCTCACACGCTGCCCCAGCTTGTAAGTGGCCGTCTTTGTGTGTTCTGAGTTAAATGCTTTCGACATAAAGAACATCTAAACTGAGTTTACTGCGAAAAATATCTCTTTTACGCTAACAGCAATTCGTACACGAACGAGTCAGTGTGACACTTGGTGTGAGCGAGACAAAGTTTGACAGCATACAATTTGGTTGTTTCAGTTTAAATATTCTTTAAGGAAAATCCAAAAACTTGCACGATTCCAAGAAATTTCAATGAATGTTTTTAATCAAAACTTTTATGTCTTTTTACAGTCTCAAGCTATGCTGCCCCAGCTTACACCAGCTCATACGCCGCCCCAGGTTGGTCATCATGGTAAATTAAGAAATTAGAGTAATCTACTTTCATTAATTTGACTCGAGATTTTTCGGAGTTTTATTGTTTCGATCTTGTTATTTGTTCCATCCAAAAAGCCATAATTAATGAATAAAATACTCCAAATTCAAATCATAACTTGTTCGGTGTGTTTTTCTTTTTCTTTTTCGCAAAAATGATTATGAGCCAGTGTGTTCAGCGAAGTTTTGAACTTAACCAATGAACTGCGCTTCAGTTCAAACACTTCGATATGGTCATTTCTCTTCTCAGCAACACAAATGAGTTCCATCTTTTATGTGTTAAGATTTTTCAGAGATGACAAATCGCACCGGTTCACCGAGCAGCGACTGCACCGTAACTGAATTCGCGTTCGTCAAACATGCTCAGTACTTGCAACAAGATAAAAAAAACGAGTGGTTATTTCGAGGGAGCTGTTTTTTTTTGGCTTTTTTTCTTCATTCTACTTTACATTTTTCGTCAATTGTGCCTGTGAGCGCAAAGTGAGTGTGCTGGCTCTCATTTCAATGCAGAACAATATGAAATACACAACTGAGCGTGCGCTCGGTCATCTGTGATATTTTTATTCTATAAAATTAAGGGAAATCACTTACCAGTAAAGGTCCCTCGTTTACACTCTTATTTTTTTTCAAAATTCCGATTGGATTAGTTAGTTGGGGTCAAATGATGACGAATGACACCAATTATTTATCCCCGAAATTCTTTGGAGGTAGTTTTAGGGGGGTCGAAAGTTCGGAACCCCCAATTTTCTGGACGCCATAGCTTCTAAGCGGATGGGCATTTGTAAAAAGTGTCAGTTCTTATCAAAAATAACAATATTGCCGAACACTTTATCCCCAAAAAACCACTCCCTTTGGTTGTAGGGCGCCTCAAAAAACTCAAATTTTCGGGGTGACTTTTTGACCTGAAGGGTGGTTTTTTGGGGATGATTTGTTCGGCAAAGTTTTCAATTTCGACTAGATCTACAACATTGCAGAAGACACTTTTTACAAATGCCCATCCGCTTAGAAGCTATGGCGTCCAGAAAATTGGGGGTTCCGAACTTTCGGCCCCCCTAAAACTACCTCCAAAGAATTTCGGGGGTAAATAATTGGTGTCATTCGTCATCATTTGAACCCAACTAACTAACCCAATCGGAATTTTGAAAAAAATAAGAGTGTAAACGAGGGACCTTTACTGGTTAGAAAGAAGCATTCATTTCGATTGTGGATTCAACACATTATTACTCAAGTAATGTCAATGAAACTCTTATCAGGTACGCTGAATAATTCACTTTTGATTCTCTTATGGGAAATCTCCATTCGTTGCGAATGACTCGACCTTCTTGACAACAATAATTTTCAATCTACAACAGTTGCAAAATGCATGCATTCTATTGATAATTTGGAACATTCCCAAACATAGAATATGTTTGCTGTAAAATAGAAAGGCGAAGAACGTTAAATACGTCTCCGGGCAAATATTTCAATTTTGGCAACCAATGGACTTTGCAAGCTAAAGAAACAATAGAATTTTGCATACAAAAATAAAAACCAACTATCGTCACGGATCATAAAAAGCACCTTTCCCGGAATCTCTACTCTAATTCGAAATGTAGACCGCGTCAATTAAAATCAAAGTCAAGAAATTAAGTCATCAACTAAAAATGGTGTTTTTTTTTCTCCTAATATTTCACAATTTCGTAAGATAAATTTGGCCGATTGGTTGAAACAATTTCGTTCGATTTTAATTAAAACAAATCGGTTTCTTTGTTTCAACGTATCAACTGCGTAATACACATAATCTCCATTCACTGGATTAAAAGCCTCACATCATGGTGATGATCGAATCGAATCGAATCAATGAAATGCATACAAAATAAGTGTGTGCTGTTCATTATAGAAAATGAAAAATGCACATTTTATCTATACAAATTAAACATTGATCAAATCAAAATGTTCACATTTAAAGTGTTATCTTGATGGTTTCGCGGTCAAAATTCTTCAGTTTGCATAGGCATGTAATTCATTTTGGCCAAATCTGAAATCTTCTTGGTCTTTTACAACGTCACCAAACGCGATTGCACGAGAGCATCTTCCTCTTCCAACTTCATTGCCATTTGATATCGATTGGTGGTCACTCGTTGGCGAGGTTACATGATCTTGAATTATCATTTAACAATATTGAACGCGAGTGAAATAGTGTGACTAATGACTGAATTGATATATTGCTCCCGCAAATACAAAACACCTTTGTGTGATACACATGTTGCACCAATTATAGATTATCTGAATAAGAGTATCTGCGAACGAAAGCGATTCACATAATTTGTAACCAAACTTGATTCAAACTTTATATGAAATCGTATCATTTCATTTCATTTCATTTGTGTATGGTTAAATTTCCGTCAGTTGATTACACACGACAAAGCGGATGGCATTTAGAATCACACAATGATTGATGTGTTTAACTGGAACGTCTGCGTCTGCCTATGCAAATTTGATTTCAAATTTAAAGGTCAATGCGTGCTCTCGAAATGTTCGCAGCCTTATTGGCACAAAATTGAAGTACAAAAAGACAGTTTGCATCTTCATAAATAGCTGATCAAATCCTTCTTATACTGGCGACGTCATTCCAACGTCAATAGAAACCAATTTCAATCGAAATTCAATATTATTATTTATGAAAAATGAAACAAAGGTTATGAACAATCACCAACCAGATCACTTTCAAGTGGGAAAACTCTCACCTATTGTTCACACATTTCGGTTCGCACGTGTGAATAAAACCAGCCAATTTGATACTGATTTTAATGTTTCTATTGATGAATGGAAGAAATAAATGGAAATTTTAAACAAGCGCGTAGGTCAAACGGGTGAACGATTAAACAAGAAGTAAGCGGAACTACATGTCTTCAACTCTCACCAACAAAATTTTCATCTAATGCTTTGACCGTGCTCCATTTATTTATGCACTGTGAATTCTTGTGTGTGATTTTTCGAATTTTATGCGCTTATGCTTGCTCGTAGACACCCATCGATAGCCATCGATCGTAGGTTAAATACCTTTATCGCTATTGTTTTCATCGCGCGTCAAGTTTGCCACCAAACATTTCAATGCGACTCTTAATTGGTTTTAAAATGGTACGAAATTTGGTTCATTTGGACAAAATGCTGTTTTAATTATAAAAATTGTGTGATAGGTTTTTAATTTGTTAAGTGTATCGCAAATTTGTGCACTAAATAGGGTCGATTAAGCGAATCCATTTCTTGTAAAAATGGCAAGCGAAAACCCTCAGACAGTGTCTAAGTCAGACACACAGCTCAATGGATATGCAAAACACTACGATTTCAAGAGCAAGAAAAACGTAAGCTTTGCCAAATGTTACGCAGAGCGAACGTTACCCATCGATTCCTGACTAATTCGGTCGCAAGATGAACTTGAAACGAAGCAGTGGGGCATATCATTTGTTTAGTATAAAAACGGTGGTCGTTCGGAGCAGAAATCAGATCAAATTTGTTCTTCGACAGAGAATTACAAACATTGGAAAGATGAAATTCATGGTACGAATTTGATTTCAAATTTGGTTTTGTTTTTTGTGTTGTGTGCTGTAAAAACAAGAAGTGTTTAGTTTAAAGAATAATTGTGTTTAATCGGTTTTTTTTCGTGTCCTTTAGGTTGTTTGCATGTTCGCCCTCGTGGCAACCAGCATGGCTGGATCAGCCAAAAAGGAAAAACGTGGTTTGTTGGGTTTGGCTAACCCAGGTTTGGTTGGTAGCTCATTCGGATCAGGCTACTCAGGCCTTTCAGCTTACTCCGCACCTTTGGCTACTTCATACGCCGCCACTCCATTGTCTGTTGCTGCCTACTCAGCACCAGCTATTGCCCCAGTTGCCACCGTTCAACAAGTCGCCCAACAAGTTCACCAACACACTCACACCGTCGAAAGAGTGAATGTCCCAGTTCCATATCCAGTCGAACGTACCGTCGTTAAGACTGTCCCAGTCGACCGTCCAGTCCCACAAGTAATCAACTTTCTTATGTGTTTAAATTTCATAGTTGAACTGTGCATTGAAATATTAATCGTTTACCGTTCTGTATTCGTAGCCATACCCAGTTGAAGTCATCAAACACGTTCCTCAACCATATGTCGTAGATCGTCCAGTGCCACAAGTAATTATTGTTGCGAATTTAATCCATTCTGAAAGAACAATCAAAACGAATATTCGTTATGTGGAGCAAAATAAGTTGCTTGGCGGTTCTTTTATGAATGCCAATTAATCTTATCCAACAACATTTGTAACGCACATCCCATTTTTAATTACAGCCATACCCAGTCCACGTTCAAGTTCCAGTTCCAAAGGTGAGATTGACTTCGATCATCAAATCCAAATATCTAAACTCGATCCATATATCTATCTCTTTTCCAATATAGCCATACGCCGTCCCAGTTGACCGTGTCCAAACTGTCGTACAAAAGGTCGCTGTTCCACACCCAGTTGTTGTTGACCGTCCAGTCCCAGCAGTAAGAATTATTTTCATCTAGTGTTTAGATTCTAATCACTACTCTCCCACATTGCATGTGAATGAAATGCTAACGGCTTTTGTTTTTTTTCTACAGCCTTACCCAGTCGCCGTACAACCAGTTGTTACTGCCTACGCTACCCCAGCTTTGGCCACCTCATACTCAAGCTACCCAGCCTACTCAAGC